AGTACTTATGAACTGTAATAAATAATAACTAGTGACTTTGAATACCAAAAAATGTTACCTTGCTTCTTTTTTATATTAAAAATACTTAATATATTTTTCTCAATTTGAACAATATTTGAAATATTTATGTTATATTATATATTATATATTATATAATATATATATATATATATATATTCCTGCTCTATGGGCCATTAAGGCCTTTTGCAGCTTCTACTAAGCCCCTCCACCTGTCACGGTCAATAGCAGTCTCGAAGCTTGCTGCTCCGTCCACCATTCTCACATCTGCATTGACTCTATCCCGCCATCGTTGCCGAGGTCTTCCCCTAGGGCGCTTACCAGTTGGGTTATTAATCAGTACTTTGCGAATTAAGCTTCCCTCGGCTCGTCACACATGACCCACCCATTCTAGGCGCCTGGCTTTTGGTATTTTTTCTCCTCTCATAATCTCCAGTTAATTCATTTCTCACCGGTCCGTATATTTTCCTCAGCACCTTCCTCTCGAAGATGAGAAGATTCTCCTGATCTCCTTGAGTTGTCGACCACGTCTCACAGGCATATGTCACTATTGGGCGTAAGTAAGCTAAATATATTTTTTCCTTTGCCGCCCATGATAGCATTCTTGAACTTAACAGTTTATTCAGTGAGAAATATGCACGATTCGCCGAGTTTATCCTAAGTTTAACTTCATTGTGCATATCGTTTTTATGATTGATGTTCACTCCTAAATATTTAAAGTCATCGACCTGTTCAAAGGTGTATGGTCCCACCACCAAATCGTTCTTAATAGGCGTGTGGCGTGCCATTAGCATGTATTTTGTTTTTGCTTCGTTAATTATAAGGCCCATATTCCGACTGGATGCAATTAATTTTTCCAAGGTGTGTACAACCTCCTGGCGACTATTTCCTAATATGACAACGTCATCCGCATACGCCAACATTATCATATTTTCATTAAGCTCCATTACTCGGTCTTCCCCTACATCTCTAACGACTTTTTCAAGAGCGAGGTTAAACAATTATATAATAATAATTAATATCATATAAATAATAAATTACTATATAAACCACACACACCATTTTATATATATGTAGATATATATACACTTATACAGGGTGGCCCACAAAGAGTTGACAAATTAAATAACTTTTGTTCTAGTGAATATTTTTGAGATTTTTTTTTAAATAAGATACTCATTTGTGCTATAAGCACCACCTTGTTATTGCACTTACCTGTTTTACTTTTTTAATAATATTTTTATTTTTTTTTCAAGATAGCCATTTTATTCAAAATAATTGGTAAAAAAAATTTGTATTTTTATTCATCCGTTCAAAAGTTATACTCATTTTAAAGTGAGGATGACTGATGACGGGAGGTGGAGTGTGGTAGAGTAAACCGCGTAGGGTTATTTTTATCTGCGCGCGTCCTTTTTCTTACTCCTGATATTTAAGGAAGGTAAACGTCACCGTCTAATAAAAGCGTAACGCTCCAACATACATTAGCCAAGGCTCAAGTCTGCTAGGACTGTTAAAAACGGACGCTAATACTTGATAATAATCAGTGTGTGTGTGTGTAACAGAATTTTCTCCAAAGCATTAATATCTGCACCTGAAAAATATTCAATAGTAATTTACAAATCTATCGATCTAAACTACAAAACCAAAACTACGAATTACATATCAGTTTTTTCTGGAAACATTGATAAATTCCAATAGTTGTGCCGAACACATAAGTAGTCGCGGCGGTACATCTATGGAAATAAGCCACTTTTATGTCGTTTCCACCAAAAGTTTCAAATCTGTACAATTAGAATATGTACACATAAATAACATACTTATTATTTTTAAGCAAAAATTACTTTACAAAAATTACGGATAACTTTTCAAATAACATACATTAGCCAAGGCCCAAGTCTGTTAGAACTGTTAAAAACAGACGCTAATACTTAATAATGTACATGACCAGTGCGTGTGTGACGGAATTTTAAACTATTCGGTATTTACTTGTCTAGAACAACTAGTTATCACCCACAATCAAACGGTCTTGTTGAACGTTAGCACGGCTCTTTTAAAACTGCCATTATGTGCCACGGAGATTCTACTTGGTCAGACGCATTACCATTAGTACTCCTTAGTCTACTCACTGCCTGGAAAGCTGATCTCCAATCTTCAGTCTTCAGTTGCAGAGCTAGTGTACGGAGAGACATTGCAAGTTCCTGGTAAGTTATCTCCTGTCAATCTCTCCTAAACCTTCAGACTTTGTGGCAAATCTCCGAACCGTAATTTCCAAACTCCGTCTTGTCCCAGCATCACGTCACTCGAAAAGTCGCATATTTGTTCATCAGGATCTAGAAATATGCACTTGTCATGCTACGCACCGATCTGGTTCGAACTCCTTTTCAGCCACCTTACACTGGACCTCATCCTGTTCTAAACCGTGGTGATAAGACTTTCGTAATTTAGGTTAAGGACAAGAAGTCGACCGTATCCATTGACCGCCTTAAACAGCGCGCACACCAAGTACGTTCCGTTACGTCACGTCACTATACGTCTTGGAGACGGTTTGGAACGTGACGTGACGGAACAGTGCAAAGTCGCACACTAGATGCGTCTCCTTCCGTCTGGTTTGTGTTGCCTTCCCAGAGAATCGTCATTCTACGTTTGAATTTGTTGCTGTGCGATGTGTGTTTTGTTAATTATAATATAGTTTTTAAAGTGAATTTCGTTATTTAAACTTTACCATGGACATTTCTTCCGACGAGGAACTTATTGTAATGGCGTGTATTGCAGAAGAGGAAGAGAAAGGTATGGGTCCATAACATAAATTTAAAAAGAAATGAGCACGGAGAATTCCATACTCTATTTCCAGACCTTCTTCAGGATGAAGCAAAATTTTTTAAGTACTTCCGGATGAGTTCGCAAAAGTTTTTTGAATTGCTTAACATGCTGCCGCAACTACAAAACCAAGATACAAACTTCAGACTCTGTATTCCACCGGATGAAAGACAGACTATCACCCTAAAGTAAGTTAAAATAATAAAAGAGTATAAATAAAAACGAAAAAATATAATACATAAGTAATGTATAATATACCAAACATATTATTACTGCTTACTAAGCAGTGCTAAGCACTAAAGCATTAAAATAACTGATAAGTGTTTAAAACTTAAACTTTTTTGTAATAATACCTAATTTTTTAATTTTTTAGAATTTAGAATAGTGTAAAAATTAATAATAGTGAAGAATTAAAAATAAATTAAGAATAGGATAAATATTATTTAAAAATAGTGTAAATTTTAATTCACTATTAGCCGGAGAAACAGTTTGAGCATGCGTCATAATTGTTATTTCATCGAGAGAGTTGTTATGTGGCGAAGTAAAAGAAGTATTTTGCTCGCTAGACAAATACGCCCTCATCTCCAAATCAGAAAGCAATGCAGCTATCTTAGCTTTTGCTTCAATTTGGAGGATGGGTGGTAGTCTCTTAGTCGTTGCCTCCATAGCAACAAAAAATGACCCAATATGGTCAAGAGGCGCTTCTACCTTGGCTTTTTTTGAAGCAAGATAGGTTGTAGAACTTGGGCAGTCGTTGGTTGTTGAGAACGCTTATGAAATTTCTTATCTGAGTTGTTTTCTTGATTAACGGCAATAATAGAAGTTGGCGAAGAAGGAGAACTTGTAGAAGGAGTTGGCGAGGGAAATGTGATTGCACATGATGAACATGGAAAAAGTAGTTCATCCGAATCTTCAAAAACTGGACTATTTTCAACAATATGCGCATCGTTGTTGTCGGGAGCTAGGTTTGATTTTTGTGTCCTTTCCTTCATATGAGGTAATAAAAAAGCCCAAGTGCCCTCATATCTCCATTTGCACCGATTTTCTGCACCCTGACCACTAACAGTTTTTTTTTTAAATTACGTTTCGCCGAAACTGGTCGCGAAGACTGGTCCAACGTTTTTTGCATTCTATGACTGAAAAGTCACATATTGAAAATAAATATACGTATTATAAATATATGTAGTATTTATATACTTAATTATTTAAAATTAAAAAATAATTCATAAAAAAAAAATAAGAATTAACTATACAAATTTTTTTTAATTGATAAATTGATCAAAATATGTTTTGTTGCTTGATATATTAGTTAAACTGGTTTTTTTATTTTAAAATTTCCTTCTTAAGTTAATTAATTTTTTTCAGATTTTTGGGTTATGGAGACTATTTCAACTATTTCATTTAGCTATCGGATTGGCGAATCTACGGTTCGCAAAATAATTTATGAAACATGCGAAGTCCTATGGCTTACCTTATTACAAGCCCATTCAATTCAACTAAATGCATCCCAGCAAAACCAGCTAAAGAAGAATTTCCTAGATCGTTCATTGACGATCGGTAACAACTTGCTCAGGTCGTCGTGTCCGTTTTACCAAGTTCTTTCAAGCATAGCAACTCGAAAAAAAAACTCCAAGAAAACCGTTAATAAGGACCATAAAATTAAATTTAAATCATAGTATTTACTATCTGGTGGAAAGGTGGAATAAGTGCATTTGAAATAAATTTGTTCAAAATTATTTTAATGTTACGGTTATGTCAAAATGTATTATTGGATGGAAATAGTACATTATCCTTAAGTAATCTTGGTTATATGGCACTTCAATTTATAATCTTTGTAATCATAATTGATTATGTACATATTACCGCTATTTAAGCGTTTTTCCAGTACCGCTGTATTGTTGTTATAAACATCTACATACTACCCAAATTTACACTGTAAACGACATTATGGATTCAACAAATAAATAATACATCAATAAGGTACAATCAAGTACAATTCACCAATGCGGTGTTTATTGTGTGACCAAGTTATTTCACCCATTATAAATTCATAATATCGTTTTTTTTATACTACAAATGAAAAAAACAGTACAGTACAATATCGTGTTGTTTTTTTTTAAACATGAATTGTAGCTCAAAAAACACCACATGCACAAGTCGAACGTTTATATGCAGATAAATCCGAAAGTATTTTCTATCGTTCTTCTTGCTCTGCTTAACCTAAATAATCATTGATTAAATACTTAAACTGCAATATGGCTTAAAAATGTCATCTCAAACTTATAATTGATATTAAATAAATTGTAGTTTTTACCTGTAATTGAACACTTCTTCATTTTTTAGCAAAATGGACTTACCCCTACCAGAATAAGGCCTTATCAAATTTTCCAAAAGAGGGAACGCTTCATCGCCAACAACATAAAACGGTAGGCGTCCATTTACACGGTCCAACCATTCTGGATCAGGTAAGTCCATTAAATTTTGCGTTATTGCTTTGCCAATATTGCTGTTCCTAAAAACACCACCATCGCTACATCTTCTTGGTGCACCAATATCAACCAACAGGAAGTTGTAATTGGCATCGCACAATGCCAGGAAAATTATACTATGCGACCCTTTGTAATTGAAATTTATAGAGCCACTATTTCGAAAAGCCTAAAACATAATTAGTTATGGTAAGTGAAAAGTAAGTATCTAGTTATAGCATATTATTATTAAACATTTAACTATTTCAAGTGACTTATTTAATATGTTCTGGAAGTAATTTGAAATTAAAATAGTATGTTTCAATTGAAAAACTGGTTGAATAAGTAATAACCCAATTATTTATACAGAATTCAATATTTATAGAGATGTTATCAAAGAAAACATTGCGAGTTGATGTAATACATTTTTGTCAGTAGTAACATTATTATTATTCTGTAGGGGAGGATGGTGGTAGCCTGCACGTGGCCCTCCCTGCATGCGTTAGTCTTATATTTACCGAGATTTGAGGATTTCAGTATTTGACTAACGTATCAATACCACCATCAGGCGCTACACTAATGAAATAAATAAATAAATTGGCCATACATGTTTTAATTTAAATTATAGGACTTTGTTATGAATAGAATAAAATTTACTTGATGTATTATATGTTTCCCGTCAATAGCAGCAAGGCAATGGGGTAGGTTCCATTTATCTTTGAACTCTATTGCACTTTTTTTCTAACTCATCTTGGATGGAGTAAATAAAACCTTTAAATATTTATTATACTACAACGTTTACACTAAAATAATCACATTCAAGTATATAAAATATATTCTATCATTAACTAAATTCTAACCTTCTTTTTGAGAACTGTCCAAAGTACGTTGCAACATTCTGGTATAATCTTTGAAATAGTACTCTGACCAATTCTAAAAGAATATACTAGTGACATCATACTATCACCTGAAGCCAAGTATCTAAATAATAGTAATTTTAGATTATGAATTAATTTCTGTATCCTTAGTGTATGTATAATTTTTATTTAACTTAAGCCTATATTTAATACTAAATTAACTAAATTTATTATAATTAAATTTGTAGACCATGTTTACACTTTTAACGCACCCCAAGGTACATGTTGAAATTTCCCCAACAGAAAGAGTGTCCTTCCGAAAATATGGCAGTCTTTGTAGATGAGGACCTACAATACACACAAGCTCTTCTAATGTTGTGGAATTCATGCGAAGAAAGTTGTGGTAATGTGCTGAACTGGATAGCTGTTGTTCGGCTATGCAATATTCTGTTATCTCCTTAAGATGGATGTTCTTTCAATAATGGTCGAACATGCCATCTCCTTTTCGAACTGAGTATAATTATATTAAATTGTTAATTAATGCACTATGAGGTTTATTGTTAACTTTAAGATCTTATATTATGTACAATATTACTTGGTTTCTTTTTTAGTCGAATTCCATAAGTACAATAGTACTATTTTACGTCTATATAAACTTAAATCGTAATTGTACTTTTCGACTTCGTGTTGACGTCTCATTTTTAATTCTAAGAAAAAATCTCACTAGTACAACAACTCACAATAAGTACAAATTAATTGTATTATTCATTTTTAGTCGTTAAAAATAATGTATTAATAATGGACAAACAACACAAACTTAAATTGAATTTCTAATACTAATTTATGATATATCATCAATAAAAGAAAATTTTGTTAACATAATTTTGAGTAGTTATTTTATCAAATTTAAATTTCGCGGGTTTGCCTCTATGGTATTCCCTGATTAAGTAACCACGATTAGTGATTACCAAGGTGGTATTGAACAGTTACCATTAGTAACCATTAGTGGCCACGCCCACTTCTTAAATCGCACGACACGTCAGACGACGGAGCTGTGATACCGGCTTAAAACAAAAATGTTATCACGTGGTCAACAAACCCTGGGCGGTCAAACAGATGCGGTTTGCCAAAGACGACTGTCAACGGTTTTGTTTCCCTGGCATCGAATCGCATATGAATGCAAGACAGCGTGTAAGCAATTTTTTATTCATTCTAACAAACATTCATCACTGACAAACGAACAAAATTCTACTGGAAGACTTGGCCATGGCAGTTTTGTTCCGGTTTGATGGCAAACATTCCATTTGAGATAAACGGGTAAGTCGCTTGTTGAGTTGGCATTCAAGTATAAGTTTAAGTTTGCAACCAAAAATTAAATTACCTAACTAAATAAATTACATGGAATGCTGTTGTACAGGGTCAACTTGTCTGGCTCGTGGGAGTGGACTGCGTTTCGGTTAATTGCCGAAGCATGTCCTTTGCTGTTTGCCAAATGGCCCATGGTGCGGTATGGTGGCATAGCCATGGTGGCCACGGCGACAGGCGTGACGGCTGCCTTAGACCAACTAGTATCGATAGCGGTGAACCAGACGGCCAAAAGAGAACTGGAAGCTGACAGCTATGACCAGGAGCCAATAGCGGCCAGTTGGGTGGACCATAATCAGGCGATCGATGTGTTGGTTAAATTATCGGAGGACGAGTCGATGTTTAATCCGTTCTTATGGCGGATGTACCCGCATCCACCAAGTTACATCTGCTGCATGCACTTTCTCAAACACAAGGCACATGTTGATCTGATCAGTAAAGCCAACAACTGCGATGTCAGAAAGAAAAAATCAAAATTAAAGCACACTATGCAATGTTCAACTATGATAGTAAATTTCCATAAAAAAAAACATTTTTCAGCCGAGTCTGCAACCACGAAAGAGCATTTTAAACTAACTAAACTAAGAAATTAATAAAATAAATTTAAAAAAAAATCATTATTATTATTAAGATGTTGTTATAACAATAAAAAAATGTAACTATGAAAATCTATATTTATTTATTTATTTGGGTAAACGCCCAAGAGGGCTCAAGTACAATAATAATCTTAGCTTAAATCATCATCATCATCAAGCTTAACGGACCTTTAAGGCCCAACGCTGCCATCATGAGATGGTTTCTTGACGAACAATTAATCTTAGCTTAAATACAAGATAATAATTTAAAAACAAGATGTGAATTGGAATTTAAGTATAATAAAAAGAAAAAAATATAATAAGAAACTAATAAAAAGACCTAGATAACACTAACTGGCTGAAAAACAATTTTTTGTAGAATACAAATCTCTAATATTAAATAAATCAAAATTTTTCATCACGTTACATTCTCTAGCTATACGGTCAAGGGGATTATTGGAACCATATGATGTACGATGGAAAAGAATTTCAAAGCTATATATAAAATAAAAAAAAAGTCACTTATTTGTGAGAGTAGTGTAATCAAAAAATCTCTAATTTCGGAACATTTAATTTTAATTTATTTTTTCTTTAAATAAAATATATGACTTTCCCGAGGAAATTTACTAGCAGCTAAAATATAAATGAAAAAAATTGTATCAAAGATCATTTTTTTGGCTGCCAGAGAAACGTGTGAGATATGATTATGTTGAGTATACGCACCAACGACCGATTGCTTCATTAGTAATGATTAAAATCATAATGTGCCAGAGCTAAGACATGATAATGTCAAAAAGGGCTTCCTTATCTACTTGACTATAATCAATTTCAGCAGAATTTAATGTGCGTGAAGCAAATACAATTAGATGCTCTTAGTTGTTTTCAACGGTTTAGGATAATATGGACCCTATACCATATTAAGATGCATCATTAGTTAAAATTGTAGGTCTATTAGGATAAAAATGTTTCAGAACCCTATCTGATATACATTTTTTTTTGATTCTAAGAAATAGATCTTCACATTCTTTATTAAAATTAAATTTAACAACTTTTTTAAAATATTTGAAAGTGGAGCCTGAATAGTTGCCAGAATAGGTATTAATTTCCTAATAATTATTAATTAGTCTGAGAAATGCCTGTAATTGAGTTTTATTTTCAGAATATTTAATTTTAACAATTGCTTTTATTTTCTCAGGATTTTGTTTACACCCATCTTTATTAATAATATAACACAAATATTTAATTTGATCTTTAAATAATAAACATTTAAATTTTTTTACAGTTGAACCTAATTCTTTAATTAAATTTAAAACTTCAAACAAAGTCTTTAGGTGTTCCTCCTCATGGTTTCCAAACACTAAAATCTCATTAAAATACACTTATATTTTTATTTGTTTAACCTTTTCTGCAGTTGTTCTGTATTCTCTGATTACTTTAATATGCCTTTAATGATGAGGTTAAGAATTATAGGACATGAGTAACTTATTGAACACTTAGTATTATATTACTTTTTCTAACACTTTAAAAGTAACAACACAACAAAACAAATGATCTTATCGAAAACATAACATAATATAATATAACAGTGCGGCCAACAGTACTACGGTGTCACTACGGCGAACGCCAGGAGTTCCATCCCCTGTGGCATAGGAGTCCGCAGGAGCCCATCGTATAGGCAATTCCATAGGTCGGGCCCGAGTTCGGCCCTCGTGGCACTCCGCAAGTCCTTGTCCTTATTTCCCCCGACGCCTTTCCGTATCGCAACTTCCTACTCTCCAGGTATTCTTCGATTTGAGCTTGTCGCATTCGTAAACGTCGCACAGTGGGCCAAATTACAAATTTAGGCGGACAAAATTTTTTTTTATTTTTACTTTAATTAATATAGGTAAAAATACCTTTGCCTTGCACTACTTTATCTACCTTTATTCCTAATTTTTCCCATAACTCTTTCTGTATTGTCTTTTTTTGGAGAGCTATTTCTTTTTTTTGTTCGATACTCGCTCTTTTGTTTGACTCTAATATACCTTTCTTATAAGCAATATGAAGCATACATTCCAAACATTTGATCCAAGCATGTAGTGGCGATAATCCATATTTTAAATTATCTTCATTGCATTTTAAATTATTTATTTTTTCTTGGTCGTTCATGTCTTTAGGGGTGCATTTACAAATATAGCAGGTTTGACTTGATGAATTACATAATGTATTAATTACTTTAATGTTCATACTGCTTAAACATATTGTTTAAATACGTTTTTCTTTCGAGTTTTCATTTAAAAGAGATTTCACTTTCCGTCTTTTTGACCTATCACAACTACTGTCAAATGGTTTAAGTGGTCTTCCAACGCTGACCTTAGCTGCTGAAGATACAGTCATTTTTGAAGTTGACGCGGTACAAGAATGTTCATTCAGTGGTAAACAAATATTAAAATTTAAATCTAACCAATTTTCATTATACTTTCTAAAAACGTTTAACGTTCGATTTGCAGATATCCATTTTTTATTTAAAGTGCTATAGTAACCAGATATTTTGTTTTCCAAAAACGTATCGTATTCATCTAACGTGTCGCAGTTCGGTATTTTAGATTTTATAAAATTAAAAACCATTGATTTTGAAGCCGCTGAAGGGGGTTGAAATATTTTACTATTGCTTCGTAACACATTGAACAAATCTTTATTTTTCAATGTGGTTGCTAAAAATAAAACGTTTATTTTTTATACATCGGCGTTTTTTGGCAGTTGAAAATTACTTAATTATCTTAAGGGTATATATAGGTATAAGTTTAGGGGAAAATTAGCCTCCCCTTACCCCCCCCCCTTTTTTTTGCCACACCATTCAATAAAATAAATATCTTTATTTTCCAACTATATTTAATTGTTTATTTGTTTTAATATGTTACTACGGTACACATAGCTATAAATATACTATGTATAATTTTATATAAATATCCATTCCTTACCTTGTGCATTGATGTTATTCATTTTGGTTAAAAATATAACTATAAATTACCATAAACAATTTTTTTAAACCTCTTCAAACGGTAAATTTATAATTACAAAATATGTCACGTCGCGCGATGGCCAAGCGGTTAATGACCTATATCGGACCCCCAAACACCATTTTGGTTATGTCTAACGCTGATATTCTTATCATATATATTATTAGAATGTACAAAGTTCAAAAACTTGTAGGTTTTAATAACATTGAATTATTTTAGTTTTGTCCACTTAAATTTGTAACTTAGCCCACTGTGCGTCGTATTCGTATCGCGTTAGATCTCAACAATAGGAACCGTACCTAACCTAACCGGTAAGTTCATCCGGGCGATCGGACTTTGCACCCAGGTGCTCGGGTCGGCCTAGTGGGGCCAACTGCAAGTGAGGCCTGACGGACCAAACCAACAATTTCTCCAAGAGCTCTCCTCTAATCTCTAATGGCTCTAGAAAATTTTGCAAAAAAATTATAATTTTTTTCATTGATTAATACGCAAAGAGTATACAAACTGTCAACATATAAAGTGCATATAATATGTACGGTTGTCACGATGAAGGATCCTGGCCTCACGTCGTCTTTCAACGATTAACGACCCACCGCGCAGCCCATTCGTACACAAGAAACTTAATACCGACTATTTGCAATTGTTTCGCGACACTCATTTTTCCGACAGCACATCACAACACCATCAACTTAAGAAACTTATACAGTGTAAAATATAATTCTGATCCCAATCAAACTTGGTAGACAGGTGGAACACAGCTTTGGTCTTGTGAAAAGCTCATTTTAACGGCATCAGTGTTACCACATGACGCGCTCTAACAAAATTTTCGTTTTTAATTGCTATACCTCGTATATGTTATTACTTTTTTTTTATAATTCATTTATATAACTGTGCAAGCGCGTGAGATCTCGACCACTGGAGGTTTGTTCATCCAGGCGAGCAATTGTCTGGGGGAAGAAATGGCCACCTGACCTCTTTCTGAGGACAACTTGTTTGGTAGCGTTAGGTCGGCAGCCAGCTATAAGCCCAAAAATGCCAAATCTAAACCGTCCAAGTCTCGATCGGTGGGATTAACGGACGTTAAACGTAAGAGAGAGATAATTCATTAATAATAACTACTATAATTTATAATTTAACGATTATTTTTTTAAAATGTAGTATGCTCTTTAGATTCAAAGTTAAATCCCATACCTCTCGCTTTTATGTTGACTGAATTCTACGATACATGTCGTGGATGTCATAATGGGATATCGGTTCTTTACATACATAAGCTAAATCATTAGATTACAAAGTATTATGGGTTCCCTACACAGAATTTGGACCTCGTGATAACTTAAATAGCGATAAATATCCAATTGTTAATTAATGAACATTAGTGTTAATAGTTTAGAGTTTTGCGCTTTGTATGTTTTTATTGTATTCTGTCTTGAATAAACCAATATTGAAATTTATTAAACACCAATTGAATTACGTTTCCCACATTTGTAATACAAAAAACTAAGCTCATATGCATCGGGTTTAGATCCAATTGAGCTGCACAACATATCGGTATACCACAAACATAGACTTTCTAATTTTGATATTCGAACTTGTGACATCATTGCTCCATACGGTGAATGTTGGTGGGAATCTATAAGCAGTACCTGAAAAATAATTTATAGAGAAAAATCAAATGAAGAATAAATGATACGGTTTGTATATACTCGTATGAGTACTATATAATTCATTTATTGTGGCGGTAGATAAAATTTTAAAAGTGCATCATACTTCGTTAAATAAAATGAATAGAAAAAACTGAATAGAATATATTTTGTAATATCACCTATTAAAAATATTATAGATAGTTGATCATTTTATAAAATATATAAATGTACATTTTGCGGATTAACTAAGTATTATAACTAAAAATTACTAAACGTTTTGTTTCATAAAGTACTTTTGCTTCATCATTATTGCTCACTTACACAGTTCATGTCCAACTGCAACACAAATAATACTGATTTACTGTGAGCAATTAGTACCATATAAAGGCTGTTTTTGTTACAGCATGGAGGATTTTTAAACCACTCCAATATGTGGTAGTCCATTTCCTTGTATAAGTTTTTCATTATGTCGTTAAAATAAACTGAACTCTTCTAAAATATAGTACACATGGTTCAGTTATAAACAAATGCCTGTACTATAATATAATATGCATCAAAAATTAAATTTTGTACCCATTCAGTCATAGATCCTAGTGATGATTTACTGGCTGCCATTGCTTCTGGCACAGTGAGATTCACGTTTCTCAATAATCCTGCCTTAAAAAGATTCCTATGTATCGAATTTCCTTCCAAAATTGCATCTGAGAATAATTTAACTAGAGTTTCTTTTGTAGGTGAGCTGAACAAGCACTGGACGCGAGTATTTGAGTTCCTTATTTTCGTTGCAATGAGCAGTACGATTATAGTGCAAGCGTTGCTTCCTTCTATAATTAAACAGCAAATAACTAGCGAATATATAAATGTAATTCAAAAATGAGATTATTTTTGCACTGAAATACATAATTCCAAAGTGCACAACGCACTTATACTTTTTATGTTATAAAAAAAAACTTAAAATTCGATTTTTTTCATTTTTACATTTAAAAAACCTTAAGAAAAGAATATATCCAATACTTTATCAGTACCTACCTGCGTTTTCGTTTCCTAGTTTTGATTGTGAAAATGCCGAAGGATACCACATAATGTGTATGTCACCCTCGCTTACGAATTTAAAACTCTCTAAGCTTCGAGAGTTGCAGTGGCATGCATCACATTTCATTTTACTTAGGTTCAAGTTTAATTTTGATTTTTTTCTTAATATTTAGATTATTATTTTTGATACATATACATATATATATATATGTATACGTAGATGTATTTATTATTTATATTTTATTGTAGTTGTTAACCACGTTATAGATATACAGCCAATAAACGTACTGTAATATGTATTGTTATATATATTTTGAGAAAAACAACTGTATTTAATATTACTTTATTTAACACATTTTAACAATGTAGCCCGCCAGTTGAGTTTCTTGTCCAGATTTACATCTTAGTATTTTACTTCTGGCTTGAAATTTATTTCTTGTCCACTAAGTTTAAGGATTTTGGTATTGTCAAATCCCAATATTTTCTTAGTAAACTTAACTATCTCTGCTTTGCTTGGATTTATAGCCAAACCATATTTACTGCACTACCTATGCATTGTATTCATAGACTACTGAGACTGGTCCAGAATGTTATCTAGGAATTTACCCACTACCACTATAGCCAAGTCATCCGCATATGTTTGAACATAACACTTTTCGTTAACTTTGCTAATGTAATTGATGCATTGTAAATGTCAGTAAACTTTTTTTTTGTTTTTAATTGTTTAATTATTCTATTTACAAAGAATTATAGATAAGCTTTTTCTATCATGTAGTATGGGTTGAAAATGAATGCGAATAAAACGAAATTCATGATAATAACCAAAGATAGGACAGATACCCAACATGATAATAAAACCTGACCTTAAACATTACAGCAGTAGAAAGAGTGTATTCCTACAAATACTTGGGAACATGGATAAACAGTAATGGTGACGCTTCTAAAGAAATAAGGTGCAGGGTAGAGATTGCCAGAACAGGATTCTTTAAAATAAGAAAAATCTTCTCAAATTGCGACCTTTCACTAGAATTGAGAATGAGTATGTTAAAGTTCTATGTGCTTTCAATATTACTCTATAGAGTGGAGGCCTGGACTTTAAAGGAAGCTGATTTGAAGAAGATAGAAGCATTCCAGATGTGGTGCTAGGAAGAATCTTAAATATATCATGGGTAGATCGCGTTACAAATTTGGAAGTGCTGAGGAGAATAGGAGAAGATAAGGAAATAGTAAAGACAGTTAAAACAAGAAAGTTGCGATATTTTGGGCACATGATGAGGGGACAGAAATATCAAATTCTGCATAGTTCTAATAATATCCGCGGAGAGAGCGAACAACCGAGAAGCTTAGTAGCGGCCGGCCGCGGCCGTTTTCCCCGGTGTGGACTTTGCACTCTCCAACTGGATGGTGGGAGAGTAAGCTCACAACCGAGTGTCGCACAATGTGTCGACGGGTGACAGAAGAGGTACAGCGCGGGCCCAACCTGTGTGATAGGTTGAGGGGGATACTCCCCCGTCAATCCGTCGACACACCCCGTGCGACTAAGCCGTGGTTTAGCCGCTTACTTATAGTCTTCTCTTCTCCCCGCTGGGATGTTCAGGTGACTACCTGTCCCTGCGGGGTTGTTCGCTAATGATGCGTGGGTGGGATTGAGGGATGATAGGGAGATAGGCAAGCCTACTCGGTCCCATCTTCCTTGAAGGGAGGCGGGTTTCTCGGAGGATTGTTCGTCTCTGAGGGCCCTGGTGCGGGGGTTTGTTGGTCGGAGGTTTCGGGTGTTTGAGATGTCGGGTTGGGGGAGGATGGGGCCGTGTGGAACATCTCGTCGTCCACCTCCGGGAGGCTTGTCGGTGGCCTCGTCAACACCTCATCCACATCCATCGGTGACGCCTCCTCTTCGATTTTCTCCAGCCTCCACTGCTGGCTGTTCCTCGCCTTCGCCTCCTTCTTCCTCTGTGAGAAGGCTTTCCATTTTAACCTGTCCTTTCTCAGCTGCGAAGGGCGTTTCCGCTTTTGGAATGCGCCCGATTGTCCGGACGTCCCCGCCGCTCCTCCGTCCCCGCCGGTGGTCGGTACTGCCGGTTTGGGTACTAAGACCTCCATGAGCGGGCGGGGTCTCGTGGTGGTGGGTGCCGTGTTTCGGACCGGTGTTGTGTTGGTAGATGGGCTGTGGCTTGGGGCTGTTGCGGTTGGTTTGTTGCGGTTCGGAGTGCTGGTGGCGTTTGTTGGCTGGTTGCGGATTGGGGGAGTTGGATAGGCTCTGGGATGTGGTCTCGCGGTTTCATTACGCGCTCCACTCGACGTTGGTTGTCGTCGAGGGGGTGGGGGGTTTACGCGGTCATCGACTGGAGCCATTTCCCGTCTTCCCGCCCTGAGGCCCCGCTGGTACCGACTGACACCGACACCGGATATCATAACGAAAAATAACAGTTGATTTATCTGATAAGGGAGATAAGGGAAGGAGATAGGGGTTTCGGTTAACTTTTACTTGTAATTTAGACTAATATACCTTTTCTTCAGATTCAACTACTAAATCGTCAATTTTGTAGCCGTACCATTATAATTTTTAGTCGGGGTGGTGTGGCGCAGTGGACACCTCTGCTGCCGCATGGCACTTGAGGTCAAGCTGCGGCCGTTGCTGCTTGAACCCGGATGGGTGACCAACCGGATTCCTAGCGGCGACCCACACCATCAACCCCCGATAAGCATGGCAGAAATGCCATGCGCTTCTGGCGTCCGAACTGGCATAAGATAGCTATAGCCCTCCCGGTCAAATACGCCATACGAATATTATATTATTATTAATTGTTAGTGATCCAATATATACTTATATATTATACATCGAGCGTTATATAATTTTTAATTTACAGCTACTTGTAAAATTTAAATACTGAGAATAGTGAACAACAAAACTAATCATATAATTTATATTTATACACAACTGACTAAAATGAAGACACACCCGTATCGTTTTGGAGTTTAAGACCCGCTAAAAACACATAATTCATTGAAAACCCGGTTGATGAGGCGGCACTCGCATCAAATACTACACGTAATATTTTTGCCATCGCGTTTAACTACTGCGTGATGCGGTATGTAATAGTAGCCCGGTTGGGTGGCTGGTATCATATGACCAAGGGCGGCGTATTCGGCCATAAATGCGCAATATTCGGCGTAAAACCTCAGGGTCTTTAATTAAACGCGTTTCTAAATTATAAAACCGTTTTAGCACCACCGCGCGTGAATTACCGAGGCCATTATATGCACCCGGCGTCGCGCGGTCTAATACCACATGAAACCGTATTGTGTGATATTCATAGAGAGGGGCCAACGTTCTTACAATTACCTACCGAATAATAATTATTCGGTATAATTATTATATGCATAAAAATAATGCAATTTCATAATTAACCCTACGCTGGGCGCGTGGGGGACAATTGTCAACCATCACTAAATTATTGATTAAATGTAAAAATATTCATCATTTTTTACTTTTTTAATTATTAAAAGTCAATAGCTACATTATAATTTATTATTGAACCTCAATGTATATGCATTATTAATTTATTCGTTATAAAATATATAACTAGAATGATATAAAATATATTTTATACAGCTTTTTTTTTATAATACACAATTTTTACAAATGTCGTTTAAATGATCACCTCACACCACAACTTACACTTATAACACCATCTTCTAGTTGTTTTGTCACGTACTCGTCCACAATCATAACATCGACCTCTGGATCCTTCTGGTCTTTCTGTCTCTGTAACTGCCGTATCCTTTCTCCCAACAAATGTTTAGCACGTCTTCGAAGTTCAACTGGAAGGTTTTCTATTGTAGATCTTAATTGAATTTGTGGCTTTATTAGTTCCCATGACAAGTTTTGTAAAAAGTCGACCCTTTTTACTTTTGTATTTTCGGTGTGATTAGCTCTATAAATACATAGTGCATTTATGGCAGCAACGTTTAAAAGATTATAAAATACAACCATTGGCCAACGTTTTGTCAAAGTTGATCAATTAAATCAACACCAATTTTAGTCCTATTATAGAATGTAATTATATCTGATTTTTTTTTGTCACCTGTTTCTTCATCTATTTCATCGTCATGGTGCATAGATGAAATTGCCAACACAGTTTTATTTTTTTTCGGACAATATGAAACTAATGTACTGTTATTTTGAAATCCAAACACTGAAGATGTTTCAACTCGTTGTTTGTTTGGTAAAAATTCTTTTGGAATCTCTCGTTTATTTTTACGAATTGTACCTACATATGTTAGTTTTTTTTCTTTCAAATTGGTAATCAAGGGTATACTTGTAAAACAGTTATCTCCCGTAATGTTTCTATTTGTTCCAAATATCAACTAATCGCAAAACTACATCTTGAGAAGCATTACTAATTTTATATGGTCCTTCGAGTTGTATACCAATATATGTCTCTAAATCTAAAGTGTAGGCGGTTCTAGAATCAACTAAAGCAAATGTTTTTATCCCATACTTGGCAGGTTTACTTGGAATATACTGCCTAAATGAACATTTCCCCCGAAATGCTAAAAGCTGCTCATCGATAGTCACATATTCACTCGGGCAGTAATATTTTTGAAAATTATCAACCATCAATGTAAATATATCTCTAATAGGAACTAATTTGTCAAATTGTTTACGAGCCGCTCGATCTCGTACATCGTCAAACCGTAAACATCTTACAAGAAAACGAAACCTCTTTTCACTCATAGTCAAGTAACATGACTCCAATCCATTTCTTTTCGAATTATCCCACAGTTGATGTATATTTTTACGATAGCACCTAAAGGATCCTATTTGATATAACAGTCCTATAAAGGCTCTAATTTCTGTAATGTTTGTAAGTCTTGCATCTCTGCTTCGCTGAAATTTCCCACTGATTGATTCAATATAAATATTTGTACAGTGTGTTATAATTCTAATAATGTTGTCATCAATAAATAAATTTAAAATTCCAATTTGTGATTTAGTTCCACGTGCTTCTCTTCTAGGACCAGGAAGATGGGTAATAATATTGTGTGCACGTGTTCGAACATTTACAGGAGGTTTTATTTTACACCACTTTGTTTTTCCATCCTTTCCTATAAAAAAATTATCTG